TGTCTTGTTGAACGCAAGTGGCATTCCGAGCACTCCAACTACTTATTTTCCACGCTTACACCCAAGAAGATGATGCTGATTATAAAGTCAGCATTCCCTGTGAAGGTCTCTCTATTAAGTTTGAGATCTAATTCAAACTTATGTGCACAATGGTTAATTTGATGGAAGAGCACCATCTCTTTCCAATGCCAACACTTCTTACCCCCTTAAGTTCAAAGTCATTTGAATGTATCACCTGCCAACGTCACGCATCTAGCTTCTCCTGCTTGTGTGTTCGCGGTTGCTAGTTAAACGAAGCACAAGCATGGTTATGTATCATTGTTACAAGAAATCAATGCAACACAGAAATAGGAGTTGGGCGTGGCCTTGTGTTAGAACCGTCATTAGTTTAAACTGCTAGTAGCCAGCGGTGCATTGGTGTGCTTAACGCTCATTTGTAAGGTACTCCTTTTGATACACAAGTCAAGTACCGCCTGATTTCCAATCACACACGTTGACGAAGGTTGGAATCCGGTCGTAGCATTGATTGTGCAATCATGAATCTACCTGGGGCTGCAAGCCTTGTGCTATAAGAGCCGCGAACACACACACAGCGCAGCACTTACTGTGCCACTGACACATCTAAAGAGGTTGCTTAATCCGAAATGACACAACCAGAGTTTCTCTGTCAACTTGAATATGTTGGATTATCCAGCTGTGCTGAGAAGAGAATCCAGCGCGGAATAAACAAGAGTTTTCGGAAGTCGTTGAAAGCACAACCTAGGCCGACGGTGCTGGCTGTCTACAATGATCGCTTTACATTCAGTTACAAAAAAACCTACCTCAGGTTCCACGACATCAGAAAGATCTGTGCGTCTGAGTTCCACAAAACCGTGGTGGCGTGCACTTCAATTGACGACGACGTGAAAATCATTACCATGCGGTTCGCCAAAGATAGGGACTACAGGAGGACTGTGCTAAGGTTAATTGGACTGGTCAGGAAGAATATTGAACCCATTTTCTCACGGATCGATACTACTGAAGTTCATACAACCGATATGCAATCGATTAGCTTATCGCCGATCACTGCAAGCGGCGAGGAACCGTATCCAACGATGGAACCTACCCGAAGGTCAGCAATTTACGAGGTTTACAACCGCGCTGGGATAGAAACGTCCAGACGCCAGTCTCGCTCGGAAGTAGGTAGGTCGAATCGGCTGTTGAGTTCCGCAATTATCACACCACCACAGTCGCCTATCTTTGCGGAGAACACACCGAGGCAGGCAGCTCGTCCCACAGCAATCACCCCGCCACAGCCACCTACTCCCGTAGTGGTCATACCGAAGCAGACATCTGATTCCACATCAACCACGTCATCAGCGTCAGCTGATTCAACAGAGGCCATCGAGACGCGAGCATCTCGCCCAGTGCGGCAGAAACTGATAACTCCATCTCGTTCGACAAAAGCCACTCAGAAGCAGACTTCAGGTTATCCAGTGGCTACGCAGACACGGAAATCGCGTTCTATGCCGCCCACGCCAATACCTACGTCTCGCCACACAGTGTCCACGCAAAAGCATCCATCGGGTTATCCCGCGGCCACGCAGACGCTGAAACCTCGTCCCAAACAACCCACGCCAATGCCCTCGTCTCGTCACGCAGTGGCCAGGTCAGACCAACCACCTGCTTCCATAGGGTCTGCGTCAAGACATTCATCGTCATCTCCAACGCCGATGCATTCAACTAATTCCATAGTCACCCAGCAGAGGCATCTCATTCATCCTGCAGTGCTAACACCGAGGTGGCAACATCGTTCGAGAGCACCAATGCAGACACCCTCTAGATCCTCGTCGCCATCTCCACCCACTCCATATGTGTCTGTGAGACGAACATCTGTGGGCTACATCCGCACCAGGTCGCTTTCCCCAGATGGGTTGGATGCAGACTTAGTCACTAGTTTCGTGAAGTTTGAGGAGCACTGGCGGCCTAGGTGTGTTAAAGGCATGCCACCAGCCACTGGTGAATCCCCTATTGTCCTGGAAGCGTTCTACGAAGTAAAAGGTCGCCCTAGGAAGGCTGCTGTGGACGCCGTGAAGCCCAGGCCCAAACGCAGGCAACCAAGGAAGCGCGTGACGTCGAATAAGGAGGGAATCTACCGCTACCTCTCCCAGTATGACTCCGACACTGACGCCAGTTCTGTGTCGGATACGTCAGAGGACAAACCAAGCCCCCTATCCCCAGCTGTCCTCACCCAGAAGAAAGACTCTGAGGTCAGCAAAAACACCGCCCCAGATCCCAGTAAGCCCCTTTCACCCGCGTTAGTTGAGCCTCCAAGAGTACCTACCCCCTCTGGACAGGGAAACGCCAATGTAGTGGAGATACCTACCTCCTAGAGTGCCCGACTTTCCATTTCCGCCTCTTGACTTTACTTTTAACTAAATTGGTTTCCATAAATTACTGCGTTAATTCCCTTTACGTAGGTTTTGTTGTGATGACCTCTTGAGTTGTGCGTGGTTATTGAAATTTGGGAATAAAAAACTGCCAGCAAGTGTCGGCCGCCTTTTCCCTAAACCCACGTACCAATGATGTGGAGGCTGTAGAACGAGTATCAATGTGCCCGGAGTCACGAAGTATTCACCAGCACACCGCATAATTTCCAGCAAAGCTTTACCTCTCTGAACGCAATTGTCAGAGGTCGATGATAAAATCTATCAAAAGTCGACATTTTAATAAACCGCTCCACTTGGTTTCAAATCGTAATCGAATCGTGCCAGAATTCACATCAAACCACTGCAAAAGATGAATCAACGAGGTATGCAGTGATTGGCTCAGTGATGGCTGAGTGGGAAGTAATCGGGCGTGTGTTAATTTTTTTCCTCACTTAACCTCATGGATTAAAACTGTGATTTTAGTCAGTTGGCAAGGGGACGCACGTGTAACACGTGTGAGATGTGAAAAAAGGTGCATTTTATCCCATGTTTCATTCTATAATTCAATTTTTTGCTGAACCAAATCGTCGGTAACAATACGAAACCACATCGGAAAGATCGAAAACACCACGAAACCAGAGAATTTTGGTTTTTGTAGAAGCGGGCCGTCCAGGCGATTTTGGTAACCGAAATCATTGGCTAAATCATTGTCACAGGTAGTTAATTCTTGCGTGAAATGAGATTTCTGGCAAATTGCAGAATGCGTAGGCGGAAATCGTGTGACAGGTAATCTCACACCTCGAGTGGTTGATCTGATTTTTTTCTCACGGGGTGGGCTTTGAATCTTGCTTAGTCATGCTTAATAAAAAAATTGAAAATTTCACGTGGTCACATAGTCAGAACCATAATTCGGTTAATTGAATGTTTTGCCTAATAGATTGATTTAAATTTTGTGATGAGTCACACCACAAATCTGCTCAACAATGATAATCCAAGAACAGGGAACGTGAAAGCGACGTGAAACTGATGTGTCATTGTGAGGATTTGGGTCAGCGTGCATATGAACTGGCCAATGAACTGCAGAGCTGAATCACGAAAACCAATCACCTCGAAGGGAAACCTGGACAAGCAAGCTTTAGCTAATTCTCGTTCGCTAACGGTCCACAGTAGGTAGTTTGCCAGCTGCCTTGGAAAGCAAATTTTAGAAGGTGCTAGAATCGAGAATCTGATGCCTTCTAGGTCATGGGAATTGTTCACATGACTGAAACGAATTCATCACGCTGATTTCCGATATCTGCTAGGCAGTAATGTGTTTTGCTTACGAGAACGCCGTGTTGTTTAATTGCCAAAAGGTCACTTAAATTGTAAAAATTCGAACTTCTAACCACCCTTCTAATGGAAAATCGTGAACAATAATTCTCCAATTACCTTGAGATTCTCTCAAAATACAACCTATCTAGCTCCTATCTACCCGCCGAATTTATCGACTCAGAGGAGTGGCTCCTGGGAGGTGGGTTAATCTAGGGAAATGTAATCCCAATCCCAAGTCACGATCAAAATCCAAACTAACAGGGAAAGTTGTGATCCAAGTGAAGATCCGTTGATCTAAAATTGACAAAACGGCTGGGAGAAATTTCCATCGGGCAGTAGAGAAGCCAAGTGCAATTTTTTTTGAGGAGGCACCGTTCCAACTATCGGGTTGGACATGTGACCAATATCTATCCAATTATTGGAAAAGGTATTGATCCAAGTATTGGAATCGATGCTTATTGGAACATGCATTGCTCCATGAGAAGAAAACGTGATCTAGGCATTGAGAGAGGTGCTTACTCAGTACTGGTTTGACGATTTCAAGGAATTCTTCAAGAACATTAACCGCATTTGTCTGATGAATTATGCACGTGTGTGCGTGTGTGCGCGTGGCTTTATTTTTACCACGAAGAACCCGTGTTTTTGGCAACCATTTCGCCACTTCAAAGGAAATTAAACTAAGTACAACCACAAGTGACAGTTATCGTTGTCACATTTGTCCTCAGTGCTTGCCAGAACATTCTTCTCTCTCGATTTATTTCAACTCAACCTGAGATTTTTATTTTAAGGGAAAAAATTGACTTGTAAAACCGGCAAACTGAGAATTAAAGTGGCAAACGTTTTGTGAAAATTTAGTTGGATAACTAGCTGGTCGTTTGAGCAAGTGACACAGAGTTGATGTAGTCAATCAGTGTAAACAATTTTTATAATTTTTGAACTACGTAAAACAATTAGTAGAAATGTTTTCAAATTTTGACGAAACGAAGTCTACGTGTCAGTGCTTTGCAAATCATTTTTTTTATTTCCCTACAATGTTCAGGAATTGTTGTTAAGACGAAAAAAACTTTGTTTCTTAATGGAAAGTGTTCGTCGCTAACCAAACAAATTGGGCTGAAAATAACCAAATTTAAGTGTAAACAACTTGTCAGCCAATCGAACAAAGCGGCGCGATAATTTAAATATCGCGCGTAGCCCACGTATTAAAACAAACCCTGTTCGGTCATTTAAAACAAATGCAGCGTGTATTAATCAATGGCATACTCTACACCATCTTCTGCGGCAACATCTGAACGTGTGAAAATATCTGGAGTTTTTTCCTAGTGTTAAATTTCTCCCACGACATCAAAATACTTGTCATTTTAATTACTGTGAAGATGAAATTTGCGCAGTGACAAGGTCATGTGGAATAAACCAGGGGCTCCAAAAGGCTTTCACATCGTAAAACTGCAAGTTTGTGCAGTGTCGGATGAGTGAAATCCAGAGCTAGCGTTGTCATAATGGAGCATGTTGTCTGTTTGTTTAAATGCACTCCAAGATTTGGCGCAGATTTCGACGTTGAATTAAGGCGGGTTGGTGACAGCACTCAGCACATCGATCCAAACAATTTTGCTTAACAACAAACAGGCAAGACAAATGCTAGTTTGCCACCAGTTCCAGGGGAAGTTTTTTCATATTTATTCCGTCAATAAAAAATGATAATTCGCTATTTGAAAAGAATTCACCACAGCAATCACAAGGTCATATCACGCGCACAAAGTTGTTTGAATTTCTAGAATGAAAAACGCCTCATATGCCTCTTTGTTATGAGTGGAACGAATTGTGCTCGTTGATTGGCTAGTGTGACGTAAGGTGTTTTCGTGTTACTTCTCGGTGCAAACGTGGCCCGACAAATTTCATCTGGCCACCGAACACACAACCAGATTGCTTTGGATGGAAAGCCACTGTTTTTCCATCAGAAACGTCGTTGGAAAGTGTTCTTGACAAGTTCCCATAAAACTACATTTCCGACACTTCATTTATGTTCCAGAAACCAGAACAGAATGTGGCTGTGAAGAATAATGTCACGTGACTACCAGGTTGTGGCATTACCCGTTGAGTCGCCTCGTGTTGTCTAGCGTTGTCATGGTGATGCCTGTGTGGTGGCCGCGTACTTTGAATGAGTCGTGGAAGAAGTGTGCACGAAGACGTCCCCCCTGAAGCCTACCATCGGTTGCAGTACACAGCACCATGTCGAGCTTCCAGACAAGTCCGAAATGATGCAAATTGCGAAACGCTGATGAGTCGTCAACACGTGGTCCCTCTAACCTCTCTCTTGTAGAAATTTGTGGATCAGTTTAATGCACCACCTCAAAAACGAAACCGTCAGAAGTTGTTTAGATTGAATTGACGGTTTTGGAAATCGATCAGGTGTCTTTCCAACCATCTGTAGTGCAGGAACACGATCCTAATCAACGTCTCCAAAATTATTTGTTACGGTTTTAACAATCGCGCACAAATCACATAAACGCAAAATATTAGTTCCACAGAATCACATTTATCAAAAGTATACCAGCTTGTCAGTTCTTGCTGCGTTGCAGCGTAATTAAACACTGACATTTGAAGACAACCAACTCTCACTTGAGGTCACATTTCAGGGATCCG